GATGCCTAACGTCACGACTTCAACTATAAAATGTAAATTAAAACAAAAGAAACCTCCGTACGCCATGGGACAAATTTCTGACAAACCGACGCCGATCGTCACGACGCATATAGAAGACTGGTAAAATATCAGAGTTTAAGCCTCGGTATCCACACAAACCGACGCCCATCGTAACATCGAAAAATATTACGGGTGCCGAGATTTTCATCATACCAAACCTAACCTGACCTAACTTAATCTATCGAAACCCAACATGACCAAACAAACCATAACGTAACTTTACCTTACCACACCTAACCAAACAAGGCCTTACCTAACCTTGGCGCAAATAGACAAACGTGCCTACCTCGCCCAAGGCTCTAGTTGCGTAGGCTTCCCGCAGTAGCACTTGCTATCAGTCCGCGCAGCAAAGAAAACAAAACCATTACGAAGATCACTTTGTTTACACCGAGAATCAAACAAAACATGACTTACAGTTTGTCAAGCAGGTGGTACAGATATTTACCAGTAGGCTTTAAAGGGTTAAAGTAAGGCTGATTACAGTTGAGCAGTATTTCGGTGTTCGTTACACTGAATTTTTGTTAGCCACGTTGTTGCGAATTCCAGAACATCTCCGAAGGAGACATATGTAACTCTTGCTCCGTACTGTTCAATGAGATAATAAGAGCTCTGTATATTGGCTACGTAACTGATTTGCAGCTGAGTGGACATATTCTGTCACCTCACTGTGTTAACACGACTTGCACGGCATGAAGAGGTTTGAATAAAACTAGCAATTTTTTTATTTACTTATAATAAGATCAACAATAACGAGTAAATTATATAATTGTAACAAATAATTGCATATAATACACAATAATGGCAATAAATCTCGAATCGTTTGTGACTATTCTGGTTGCCATCGTCTTCGCCTTCTTCACATTTTTGTACTTTTATTTCACGCGTAATTTTAACTTCTGGCAGAAACACGGAATTCCGTACTTAAAGCCGACGACCTTTGTAGGAAATCTGAAGAAAGTATTCTTCCAGCAGCTGGATATAAACACTCACCTTAAGGATATCTATAATGAACACAAGGACAAACCCTACGTCGGAATATTCTCATTCGATCGGCCGAACATAATCATAAATGATTTGGAACTTGTCAAGAACGTCTTGGTAAAAGATTCCCAGAACTTCATTGACCGCATCGTAGCTGTCGATGAGACGCTGGATCCCCTGTTCGCCAAGATCTTATTTTCTCTCAAAGGCCAAAAGTGGCGGAACACAAGAGCGAATGTGACGTCGACCTTCACGTCAGGAAAAATGAAGATGATGTTCTATATCGTGGAGAAGTGCGCAAAGGAGCTGCGAGGCTATCTTGACAGAACGGCAGTGCGTGGTAAGTGACAAGCCATTTTTAATTTAACGCAAGAAAACTGCGCCTGGAGACTGTTCTTTCGTGTAATTTAAGGTTTCCAAACATCCACTGCCAGTATAATATTGTGGGAAGTAATAATAGCTATGATTCTATTTATTTTTCTAACCAACCAAAAATCTCGTAACTCATGATCTTAGTATTATCAAAATAGGGAATTTTATTCATTTATTAATGTGCCCACAGTTGAAATTTTCAGCACCGTTCCGGTGGCTTGACTCTCTTAGCATTTGATTCGCTGTGGACGAATCAGAAAGTGAATATACCAAGTGCTCTCTCTTTCTGGCAGGTATCCCCATCGAAACGATGGAAACAATGTGCAAATACACAACGGACGTCATTTCGTCATGCGCCTTTGGGATCGAAAGCAATTCTCTTAAGAATCCTAATGCCGAGATAAGAGAAAACTTTCGTAAAATCTTCGAAAAATCTTTTCGCAAAGGTATTGCTGGATTATTGATGTTCTTTGCACCGAATCTTCAGAACTTCTTCAGACTTAAATTCGTGGATGACGAGTATGCCAACTTCCTAAGGAGAACGATTTGGAGCACTGTAGAGTATAGGTAAGTTCTTACGAAACACTGTAATAGCTGGACCGTTACACATATTGTTGACAGGGTCATAAACACGGCACTGCCTCTCACAGCCAATGCCCAGAATAAGAGCAAGGAGCCGGTTGAGAAAAGATGCACGAGCAAAAGAGAATCTCTAGAATCCCTGTTACGACTCTGGAATGTAGACTTTAACAGGAAGTGACGGATATTTTCCTGCAGTGGCTTCGTTCTAAACGATGAGGCTAGAAAGAAGTCCCTCGAACGTCTCGAATACGAAGCAGTAGTGCCAACTACTCGGCTGCAACGTTCGGGTTTATGGTCAATATCCATACAGAATTTCATATACCAGGTGCACTTCCCTGATGTTGCTGTGCCAAATAAGTCAACCATTTTTCGACTTCAAAATCAAGTGCGCCACTTCTGCGATTATCACAGGGTGGGGGATAATTTCAATATATGTTGTGATTATGAAATTTTAACCTTAACCCTTTGCGGTCCGATGTCGGACTGAGTCCGCCATATATTTTACGCATTTTAACGTGATCTGGAGTCAAACTGCTGGTTCTGGCAAACTGTGCCAGCATATCATTCAAACCTTATTCTTTCCACTAGTTCCATCCTAGTTGTCTTAGTAATACTTTGTGAACCCCTGTAAAGGCCTGTACGCACTAGGGCACATGTCGCGATACAAGTTGAGCGACTTGTATCAGGGGACATGTCGCAGCGACATGAAACACCGATACATCCGTCCACATTGTATGTTAAGATGTCGGAAGAGGAGGTGCTGTTGACCTGTGCATTTAGCTGAAAAGAAATCGAAGCACAAAAAAGAGTGACTTTTTAGAAGAAAGGGGTACACGTTGTGTACTTTCAAACCTACAGATGTCAGACAAATCATTTTGCAACTTCACCAGAATGACGACTGATTTCGAGGTACTGATGCAAATGGTTGGGAGTTCGATTTCGAGATTCAGTGAAACCAGAGACAAGATTAGCCATAACCTTGAGATTTTTGGCTTCTGGGGATTCCTATACATCTCTGATGTATACATTTAAAGTCTCAGTGAAATAGTGCCAGAAGTGTGCAGATGCGACGTATTTACTTGCATACAGCTCTTTCAAAGTCTCCCTCACGCTATTTAATGTGTATGGCCCAGTAACATTGTCTGCCGAGTGACAATGAACCATAAAGTCCAAACTGACTTTCGACATATTGCCGCCATTAATGTCAAAGTGTGACACTTGGGACTACAACCAATTCGAGACAAAACCAAGACTTCCGGGAACCAAAGGTCTATCAATTTTAAAACACGATCGTTCGACCACTGTACATTCGTTGTTGGTCCCGCGACACGTCCACATTGCACGCAAGCTGTTGCAACACTCGACTCGTCCTTTGATGTTCCTTCGTGTTGCCGCCTCTCGACCGAAAACCGGGCACATGATTTTTGTTGCGGAACACACTGCGACTTGTCGCGGCACATCAAGCGACTCTGTGCCGATACAATGTGCCGCGACATTTGTGCCCTAGTGCGTACAGGCCTTAATAGTGAAAGGAGACAGGAGACAAAAGTCGTCTTATTCTGACAAGTGTCCAAAGAAGCCAGGATTCAACACCAAATGTTTTGCCATACATCATATAGTGAAGAATACCATCGGGTGTATAGATGTCATATATACTTAGAATAGAAGTATTTTATATCTGATAAAGTTATAAAACAAATATTCAATCTTCCTAGTAGGAAATAATAATTTCTTAATTATTTTTGATGCATAGAGCAATCCACCACTGACATATGCATATTCATTCGTCTTCTTATCAAGTCTTCTTTATGTGTAGTGGTGACTTCATCGTTTACACTTCGCATTCTGTTTCACTTTCCTGAGCTCAGCTCTGAGAATATGAAATCCAGTGCTTATACATCGTATATTTGCCTGCAATAAGAGATGTTTAGACGTCGCTAAACTGATATCTACCGACGTGGACATGCTTTATTCTCTACCGAAAGACAGCAAGCAGAAAGGCACCACATATTACACATCTTACTAGTGACATTGGTACAGTCCGTGAAAAATATTTCACACGGTCAGTATTCAAACAAAATGAACTGTGATCCTCTCAGAAAATATTTTCACCATATTTAGCAAAGTTCTTCCGTTTTATGCAAGTTATAAAAAAATCAAACCAGTTCATAATAGTAGTTGAACTTATACAGCTCAGTGGTATTTAAATAGACCTACAGAGAGCCGTAGTGGTATTTAAAAGGGACCGCAAAGGGTTAATGTGTAATCATGATTTAATACGTTAAATAGACATGTCATTCAACTTCAGGTTGCGTGTTTTTGGGACACATTGAAGAACTTGCTCTGTAGCTTTAAGTTTTACGGTTTCGACTAACCTTTTCATTGTGAAATTTCACGTTTTCACGGCGGCGAGTATGAAGACGGCTATCGGCTGGGTTGTTGCATCGTGCAGTCTGGTCATCGCCCTGATGATGGAGGCAGCAAGGACCTCTCAAACGTTGGTAAATTTCTACCAGACTACACGGCACTACAACCCAGAAGACAGCCATCTTCAGCAAGTAAGAATTGATCTTGTAGCCTGAAAAACTTTTTTTTCTATAATTACATTTATATTTCATGATCTTCCGTCTTCAGAGAGAAGCACGGAATAGTACGGAATGACTTTCTGGATTGCTTGATGGAGCTAAGGAGAAAGGGGAAGAAAATTGGAGGCAGGAAGCACACTGAGGAGCTATTCAGTAAGTAGCATACTACTCTTGAATCGGAAAGACGGTTTCTCGATAGATAATCAGTGAAGACACTGGCCAAATAAGCTGTTCCCTGTTTACAGAAATAGACGGGGACGACTTCGTAGGTATGGCATTCTCCTTCTTCATTGCTGGTTTCGAAACGTCCGCCTCCACCTTGGCCTTCGCATTGTACGAATTGTCTTTCAAATCGGAAATTCAGAAGCGCATAAGGACAGAAATCTCTGAGGTCCTGAGCAAATATCACCAGGATGTGACATACGACGGAATACAGGAAATGCCGTACCTTCACATGGTGGTTTCAGGTGAGCAGGCTAGTGCAACTGAGTTCCAAACAATAAAAACAGGGTACGGCAGAGAAGAGTGGTGTTTTCATGTTGAGTAGTACAACAGTACTATGAGTGGAGGAGTGACAAAGTTTCTGACACCAGGAACAGGAAATCCTCTCAGTTGTGGCATAGGTATCATGAAAAATGGTACTAATGGATATCTGTATGTTACCCACAACACGGTTTCCCCTCTTCTGTCTGAAAGGGGCCACAATACTGAAGACATCATGCCAAAAGGGCGTATCAACAAATATGCATCATCGGAGATATTTGGTCGGAAACATAAAATAGTGGGACGTCTATAGGCCAGAGTGGTGTAAGGCTAATGCTGCTCTACACAGAAATACAAACAGTTACATTTTTGAACATAAACAGTAAAAATGCACATTTTATAAACCAAATAAGCATAATAAAGCAGTTTCTTCTTCTTCTTCTTCTTTTTCCATGGCTCTCCGGTCCGTATTCGGTCCATGGCCTCCTCAATTCTCCTCTTCCAAACGGTCCTTCTGTTAGGTCCGTCTGTCCGAGGTTGAGGTTTCGAAACATCTTCCTTTTTACGGTGCAAGGTTGTTAGCCTTGCGACCAACCCCCAACCTGGAGGACCAGGGTACCTGTCTTAGTCTGACCTCTCCCCCTCGACCAATCTGCTACCGCCAGCATAGCTCTTGGGGTCACCGAGGTACTCAAGCCCCACCACCACGACAAGGTGCAGGTACCATTAAGTGGGGGTAAAGCAGTTTACTGTAAATCAGTCATGTTATTTGGCATCTTTACAGAGACGCTACGGAAGTACCCTGTGCTCGGATTCCTGGACAGAACGTGCCTCAGTGATTACCAACTTCCGGGACCTTCTGGAGAAGGGAGCGTCACACTCCGTGCGGGAACAGGGGTGTACATTCCTCTGTTGGGTATTCAAATGGACCCACAATACTTTCCAGATCCCGAGAGATTCGACCCGGAGCGTTTCACAGAAGAAAACAAACAGACTCGTCCACATTATTCGTATTTGCCATTCGGAGATGGCCCCAGGAATTGTATTGGTAAGGAGAAAACAAATTATGATAGTTATGTAGTGTTTATTCAATCCTATCGAAATATCGTAAAGAACACTTAATTTTTTATATTACTATTATATATTTATAATACAATAATACTTTATATCACTTGGTAACGTGGTAAGGGAAACGCCTAAAATGACATACTATAAATAGAGGTATCTCAAAAGACGTATACACGCAAGGTTTATATTCCGTGTATACATCTTTTCGGGACCTCCTGTACAAATGAGTTTAAGACATTAGCATTGACTTCAGAATGTATGACAGCATGTTTTCTGTAATATTTGGAGTACGAAGAAATGTTCGTTACATATATAACTGGTTTCCTTCCTATGGAAATTTAAAAGAAATGTTATCAAAATGTCTACAGTTTGTCATTTCAGTCCATTTTTCTCACACACTACCAATAAAGATTACAGAACAGGTAAGTTTATCATGACGAACAACATATTAGACGCAGAGGAGCTCTGACGGATTCACTGGATATCTGTTCCAAAAGATTTATCATATCTTAGACTGACAATGTTGATTTACTGTGGTTGGAAAATCGTAAAAGAAAACCATCAGAAATCATACTTCTGCACACAAACCTTCAAAAACGCTCTCTTTCAACACGCCATCTTCCACTCGAGTTGAGTACCAACATGACCAACCTAATGGAGCTAAATCTAACACCATTCCATAAAATCCGTTGCCTGTAACACAGACGATGTCATCTTATTTAGCTGTCATTTCTGGCTAATCTCCTCTATACATGCAAATTTCTGCAAGATCACAGACAAATCTTAAACAAATTACGCCATGCCAACAAAACATAGAACATACAGAAGATAACAAAACTTAATAAAACAGATCATAAATGTGTGCGTGCGTGTGTATATATATGTATGTTTGTTTGTTTGCTCGTTTATGCCTTAAGAAGGGATAAACCAATTTGCCCCAAACTTGGCATGCTTATGCTTCGAGTCCCGGTGAGGATGATTTCTGTAGCTCGGTAACTAACGATTCCAAAGACAAAACTGGTTTCTTGAGCGGGAATATTACACAGACAAACACCACAACCCTGAAAAATTGTCCTAGGTTCGAGTATGGATTTGTCTTGAACCCCAAAAATCTTAGCTTTGATAAGGGGCAGAGTGTCCGCAATGTTGATGAGGGTAAATTCGACAATTTCTTACATTTCATATTAATTTTTATAGACCAAAAACTTGTCATGACCCTAATCATTCCATACGTATCGTTGAATATCAGACATTATTATTCGTAAACCCATCACCTTCACCGGGACTCGAATTAAGGGCCGTTTTGGGCTTGTACCAGTTATTAAGTCACGCAGAAACCAATGCTTTATCGAGTGTTGGAAATGTCCACTGCGTTCAACGATTCATGAGTTCACTCTTTACCTCATATCTGAATGTTAATTCTTCCTGTGTTTCCCAGGGACGCGGTTCGGACTGATGCAGGTCAAAGCAGGACTGATTCACATTTTGTCCGACTACGAGGTGTCTTCCTGCAAGGACACTCCTGTACCGCTACTCTTCAGCCCAAAGGCCTTTCTAGTGCAACCAGCCACCGAGATACTGTTGGTCTTCAATAAGCTCAATTAGCAGTCCTGCCTTCTTGTCGATCGTCGAAAACTTCACCAGTTATACTTTGTGTGGGGTGAAGATGTCTGTGTTCTGGGTTGTTATGCCGTGTAGTCTGATAGAAGTTTAGCGACTTTTCAGAAGTCCTTGCCGTCTCCATCAGAAGACATACGATGGAGACAGCTTATTCAGAAATTCTGTCACGTGTCGACTGCAATGTGGGTGTCCTGTCACGCTAGAAGTACTTTTATATTAGTATTCTATATCGTAATTTTTAATTCAAACTCTAGATCCTTAAAAGCTGAGAGTCGATCTCATGTCCATATGACATTTCTGACTGAGAATTACTTCTGGAATAAGTTCCTGAAGCCCTGACGTAAAGACATAGCATATTCAAACAATTAATTCCATTCTAAAAACTATTTTAACAGAAGCTCCACTTTTAATAATCTGAAACAATATACAATTTAAAGACCTAGCGTTAATGGTGCTTTGTTGCTCCCTACATCAAAAGTACACGTTTCCGCCATGTTATTGTCGATTTTTGGAAATTAAGAACGTGTGAGGTTGACCTCCAGTGGAGTAACGTGCATAAAATTCTAGCAAATTCTTTAAAACTTCACAGAGGAGGATTTGAGGTTTTCATGGCGGTGAGTACGAAGATGGCCATCTTCAATTCTTCACATGTTTAACGTACGAAATTGTAGCTTAAACAAACTTCAACACCTTGCTGCAATACAGTCCGACGTGTGAAGTCCAGTTGTTGTGTATGCATTAGGTGTATGAAGAGTTTATTTATACACTTTACTAGTAGTTATGATATTAGTTATAGAAAATGATATGTATTGTTTTATGGCTGTTAAACATGAAAGAAGAACGTAGATTATAAATGTTTGAAAACAAGGTTTTTAGAAGATATTTTGACCTAGGAAGGATGAAATAAGTGGGGAATTTAACCAGCAGCCATGTGAATTGTACAGGTCATCTAGCATAGTGCGGATAGAGAAATCTAGGAGGCTCCGATGGGCTGCACATTTAGCACGCACGGGGGGAAACCAAATGGTGTATACAGAATTTTGATTGGAAATCCTTCTGGAAAAAGGCCACTGGGCAGACATAGAATGAGATGGGTGGATAATATCAAGATGGATCTTAGGAAGGTGGGCTGTGAGGATGGTAAGTGGATGGAGTTAGCTCAGAATCGAGGACAGTAACGGGCTTTGGCATTGTCGGTGTTGGACCTGTGGTTTCTGCTACCAGGAAGTTAGTTAAGTAACGCAGTCCTTGGCATTCAGTGGACACAGTGTGTGGGTACTTATACAGCTGCAAGTCAGGGAGATATGGGTTCATCCACCCTTTCTAAGTGAGACTATAAATAGACGGCTGACCCATGACCCAACCCCTGAAGGAAAAAATGGGGACTGTATACTCACTTATATACCAGTGTATGTGGCAACCACTACATTATTGTAACGTTTTTTGACTTTTGACCTCTTACTAATGAGCCCAGAATCATCACTGGCTCTGAGAAGGTGTTATCAATGTTCTCTGTTACAAGAAATCACTTCTACTCCGAGCTTAGAACTGTGAAGATCAGTCTCTAAGTAAGTCAGGCCTGTCATCCTTAGGTAGAGACGTGTAGCTGCCGTTATCACATCAAGTATTTCTTTATTTAATAATCATTTCTCGAAGTAATAACATCACTGGACTTTTTCCTCTGGGGTTATGTCAAGAGCAATGTGTTCCGAACACCAGTTAACGGATCTAAAACTTCTTGACGATGGTGAAGAGTCAATTGAATAAAAATTTTCTTGGATATTATCCATCGTCTAGTAAATATAAAACGTAAAACGACGTTTCGGAGATGGGACTCTATCTCTGTCTTCAGGTTCCTACACAGTTGGACCCACTAGATAGAGCTAATCCCTATCTCCGGACAAAGTAAAAAGAGAAAGTCCCAGAATAAAAAGGCATTACCAGGCATTTTACGTCCCACAGATGGATGGTGTGGTGATGTCTGGACGTTCTCCGTGCTACCAAGGGAGCCCACTTCGAGGTCTACTGAGGTCAGTAAAAAACTTCCAGAGTTTCACTGTAATGTGCAGCAAACCGCATGTGGCTAGCTCAATTTGTTTGCGCACCACAATTTTTCAAAACCCCGAAGGGACTTTGTGGACACACAGTATATTTGCAGATTGCTTGGTAGATTTGTCGCACATAACGTCAACAATTCGCATCGCGATTGTGCTATTAATTGTTGACTTTTTATCAGGTACCGCGCGTTTATGATCCACATTTCATATCGAAATTCACTTTCCTACCAATTGCAATGCAATTGGCAGCAGTGGAAGGGGAGGGGGAGAAACAGGGCAAGGAGTGTCTCAGCATGTGTACTGTACCTTATTACAGCTGAGATGACCGGTAGTCAAAAAAAGAAAAATATTCTACTTTTGAAACAAGTGGTAGAAATGCCACTTTTGTTCTGCAAACGTGTTACTACCATTTATTATTTCTCTATTATTGAAATTCTGTCTGCTAACTACAGTCCATAAATATGCAGACAATTGTTCTCAACACTCACGATCTAACAAACTCTTGATACGCGTGGCAAGACAAAAACTAGTCCTATGAGTCACACAACAAATTAAAGAGTATTTTCCTCATGGGTAGTCTTTTATGATAGGGGATAACAAGCAGCATCTATAATCGTAACAGTTTCCATTGTGTTGAACACCAGCCAATATGGCACTCCAAATCGATATAACTACAAAGAATAATATAATTGCAATGTCGTTCTTTAAAAACACCTGATGAGGGACAAAGTTAAAAAGCTGTAACAGCTTCTCTGGTTTAACCATCTTTCACGAGTTTCAACACTTTTGGTTGCTGTCTTCTTGGTAGTTGTGCCGTGTAGTCTGGTAGATGTCCACCAACGTTTCAGAGGTACACGGCGCAACAAACCTAAAGGCAGCAATCTTCAGACTCACCACCGTGAAAACCCCAAATCCTACATTTAACACTTGTGTTAGCAACACTGCCATTCCGTCGACTTTTGATGATCGGCCCGCAACCAAAGACGTGGTTTAGCTGCCTTCAAATGCTTGCCTGTTGGTTATGCTGCTGCTTTGCAAACACTGTGCAGGAGTTGGCACTTTCTCTTTCATCGACGTCTAGACAAGAAACACAGCGACTTCTATTAAATATTCGCTTGCAGTTCCCGCAGAACTGACTGACCTTGGGCTTATACGCAGAAAGCGATTTCTTCCTCTGAAACAAATTCCGTTGCTTCTAAAGAACTCCTAGCACGAACTGGGGTATAATTTCTAGACGACATTGACTGGATTCCATAGTGCAAGAGAGATCTAAATCCACAGCTGTTTGCCTACCTTTTAATGCATTTAACGGACACTATGGACTCTCACAGCGGCAGATAATTGAACGTCGTTGAAGTACAGAAAACAGACACTTTCATAAAGTTCCTTTTATTATCTCAACAGGTGTTACAATTTAATTTAGGGAAACCCTGGCGAAAAAAATACAGATTAATGACGATATAAGTAATTTCAGTAAGTCACTACTTTGGATATGTAACTTTTATCCCATTAACGAGAATATATTTTTTCCTTATAGAATAAACTTGAATGTTAAAATATGATTTACGTGATATATTTTTATGAACAGGAATATAAGGTAGGGGTTTCACAAAAAATACTATGTTTCCATATGAAAAATGCACGTAGGAAAACCGTTCGTAAATGGGCGATTTCCTTCTTGTGTATAAGAGGACATGCTGCACTATAGTACACTTCTGTAGGGTATTGTCCAACCAAAGTGTCCTTTAATTTAAACCAGTCTTTACCAACTCTATACAACACAATCCTTCGTGAGAAGCTAAAACTACGTTAAGCTAGTCATAAAATTCCACGTATTTTATATAACCGGAATGTTCATTACCGTATCTACAAGTGCCTATCCTGAGCTACATGAATCATTCCACACTCCAATTTTTCATACGCTCCATTTTAATTTTTTCAACCCATCTGCGCCTAGGCTTTCCGAGTGGTACCTTCCCTTCGGGCTTCCCAACCAAAATTTTATACGTGTTTAATACAGTCCATCTAATGCTCCTTTTATATCATCCTCCATTTAATCATTCTAATAATATTTGCAAAGGAGCGCAAACAATTAAACTCCTCATTATGCATATTTTTCCAACCTCCTGTCACTTCTTGCCTAATACGTCCAAATACTCTTCTACGCATCCTATTCTCAGACCAATGCTGAAACATGCTTACGTGTTTAACACAGTCCATCTAATGCTCCTTTCATATCATCTTTAACAATACGAAAGCATGTTTCAGCACGTTGCAGCAAAAGCGCTTTTGCCAAAAGCAGCTTTGCTACATTGGTCTGCGCCCAACTTAATCGGCGGTTTCCTCTCCATTCGAGACGAGGTTAGCAACAAAGATACAGCAAAATCTACAAACAAAAGCCAGTGCTTCTGATAGTAGTTTACGTTTATCCCATTGCCTAGATTTTGTTGAATATAAGAGGTATGTCTCCCTGTGACTTCATTAGAAACGGTTTGGGATCTAGTTTTAGCTGAACAGGGGTGCCTTTGCTAGGCGCCACTTCGAACTGCGACAAGATGTTAATCAATCCTGTCTTTATCTGCATCAGTCCAAATCGAATTCCTGTGACAGAGGGATAATTATTCAGCATTTGTAAGAAACTATTGCACTTGGTGTCTGATAGCAGCAGTTTGCAGATCAATATATGGCAGAACTGCTCGAAAATAATGCTCTTGGAAAGTCATATTAATCGTTTTATGTGTACTTTAAACAGAACTCACCGAGACAAATCCTTGGCCCCGCTCCGAAAGGAAGATGCGTGTACTGAGGTCTCTTCCTTATGTTCTCTTCAGTAAATCGCTCTGGATCGAATCTATTTGGTTCCGGGTAATATTGTGGATCGTGATGAATGCCGTAAACCGGAATGTAGACTCCAATTCCTCCTTCTAACTTCGCATTATCATTATAAGGTGAAGGTGGAAGTTTGTAGTCGTTCATACACTTCCGTTCTAAAAATGAGACGACGGGATACTTCCTCAATGTCTCTGTAACACAGACAACTGTAGTATAGTTCTGGTATTGGCTGTATACAATCCTGAAATGCAGCAAAGACACTTTAAGACACTCACCAGAGACCACCATATCGAGGTATTGCATCTTCTGGATTCCTTCGTAAGTTACTTGCTGGTCGTGTTCCTTCAGCGTCTGAGCAATCTCTTCCCTCAGCGTGTGTTGAATATCAGGTTGTAGAGATAATTCATAAAGTGCGAAAGCCAACGTGGTAGCGGATGTCTCGAAACCCGCCAGGAGAAAAGCGTAACACTGAGCGACGAAATCGTCTCCATCAAATTCTAGATGGACAAAATCATTTGGTCAGATTTCGGAGACTCGGTTATAGCTCCTTCGTATAACGAACTGGGCCTCTTCGGCTCTACTTAACGCTACTGGACTATACACTTGATATCTCACGGTATTGAAGGATACAATTTATGAAAATACTAGTTTTGCAATTATATATTCTCTTAAGTCTAGGTGGGCCTATTATCTTCAAATGTAAGTGAAGGTACTTACTGACTCCAGCCTTCCCGTTGTCTGTATTTTGTCCCTTTTTCCGCAACTCCATCATCACGTCAAGGAAGTCTTTGCGGTCTACGTTGTTCTTTTCTCTGGAATTCATAGCATGACGTCATTTGTGTATCTGCAGGTGAGTCTTCAAACCAGTTATTATATTTTTACATAAAAGTATGTGTGAAGTGTATGGTATAGCCTCACCGCCATTTACTTAAAATATGCGCATGCAAAAATAAAAATATTCATGCCCAGCGAATATCTGTGATGGTACAAACACTAGCGAGTTTCAAAATTCAACCTGGACTTGCTTTGGGACTGATACACTTCCGTTCTAAAAATGAGACGACGGGATACTTCCTCAATGTCTCTGTAACACAGACAACTGTAGTATAGTTCTGGTATTGGCTGTATACAATCCTGAAATGCAGCAAAGACACTTTAAGACACTCACCAGAGACCACCATATCGAGGTATTGCATCTTCTGGATTCCTTCGTAAGTTACTTGCTGGTCGTGTTCCTTCAGCGTCTGAGCAATCTCTTCCCTCAGCGTGTGTTGAATATCAGGTTGTAGAGATAATTCATAAAGTGCGAAAGCCAACGTGGTAGCGGATGTCTCGAAACCCGCCAGGAGAAAAGCGTAACACTGAGCGACGAAATCGTCTCCATCAAATTCTAGATGGACAAAATCATTTGGTCAGATTTCGGAGACTCGGTTATAGCTCCTTCGTATAACGAACTGGGCCTCTTCGGCTCTACTTAACGCTACTGGACTATACACTTGATATCTCACGGTATTGAAGGATACAATTTATGAAAATACTAGTTTTGCAATTATATATTCTCTTAAGTCTAGGTGGGCCTATTATCTTCAAATGTAAGTGAAGGTACTTACTGACTCCAGCCTTCCCGTTGTCTGTATTTTGTCCCTTTTTCCGCAACTCCATCATCACGTCAAGGAAGTCTTTGCGGTCTACGTTGTTCTTTTCTCTGGAATTCATAGCATGACGTCATTTGTGTATCTGCAGGTGAGTCTTCAAACCAGTTATTATATTTTTACATAAAAGTATGTGTGAAGTGTATGGTATAGCCTCACCGCCATTTACTTAAAATATGCGCATGCAAAAATAAAAATATTCATGCCCAGCGAATATCTGTGATGGTACAAACACTAGCGAGTTTCAAAATTCAACCTGGACTTGCTTTGGGACTGCGGCCTAATGTCATTGCTTGTGCTGACATTTGGCTGAAGGGACTACGCTAAACCACAAAAATCTCAGGCTCCGTGGCATCCCAACAATTATTCCATTCACACACAGAAGAAGGCAATGGCAAACCACTTCTGGATCATCTGCCAAGAACGTATATGAACAGGTCCCAGTCCGAGAAAAGGATGGAAGGATCCTGTTCATATGGACCTGTCGTCAGACAGAACACTATATAATAATAATAATAACCTGATAAAAAGTCAACAATTAATAGCACAATCGCGATGCGAATTGTTGACGTTATGTGCGACAAATCTAACAAGCGATCTGTAAATATACATAATTAAATTTAATTTATTAATTTTACAGCAGCTGTAAAACCTATTACAGCTTAACCACAATCATATTAGTACCAATAATTTATAACACATAATTAAAAGCAGTAAGAAATTATGTCGCACTGATATCAGACCGCATGCCCATTTATGTACGGGTCCAGGAAGCTACTACATAAGCTATATCGATTTTAATTTCTGGATTATAGATGTACATGCTTATAAAAATTGAAGGGAAAGTAGAACCTCTGGGCCGTGACTTTAAACGGGGATTTCCCGAATACGAGGAAGAAGTAATAACCAGTTCGCTGCGATGTTGGGTGTGTGAAACCGGTATTTAGTTTTGGGTTTAGGACGATCATTTGTGGTAGGAAAGTGAATTTCGATATGACATGTGGATCGCGGTACCTGATAAAAAGTCAACAATTAATAGCACAATCGCGATGCGAATTGTTGACGTTATGTGCGACAAATCTAACAAGCGATCTGTAAATATACATAATTAAATTTAATTTATTAATTTTACAGCAGCTGTAAAACCTATTACAGCTTAACCACAATCATATTAGTACCAATAATTTATAACACATAATTAAAAGCAGTAAGAAATTATGTCGCACTGATATCAGACCGCATGCCCATTTATGTACGGGTCCAGGAAGCTACTACATAAGCTATATCGATTTTAATTTCTGGATTATAGATGTACATGCTTATAAAAATTGAAGGGAAAGTAGAACTACAGGTGTCGGAACCTTCTACAGGGAATTCTTGTTTGTTAAGTCTGTCTACTTACCCAGTTTCATTTCCCCTTGCAATCATGAGCAGTTTAGGACGATCATTTGTGGTAGGAAAGTGAATTTCGATATGACATGTGGATCGCGGTACCTGATAAAAAGTCAACAATTAATAGCACAATCGCGATGCGAATTGTTGACGTTATGTGCGACAAATCTAACAAGCGATCTGTAAATATACATAATTAAATTTAATTTATTAATTTTACAGCAGCTGTAAAACCTATTACAGCTTAACCACAATCATATTAGTACCAATAATTTATAACACATAATTAAAAGCAGTAAGAAATTATGTCGCACTGATATCAGACCGCATGCCCATTTATGTACGGGTCCAGGAAGCTACTACATAAGCTATATCGATTTTAATTTCTGGATTATAGATGTACATGCTTATAAAAATTGAAGGGAAAGTAGAACTACAGGTGTCGGAACCTTCTACAGGGAATTCTTGTTTGTTAAGTCTGTCTACTTACCCAGTTTCATTTCCCCTTGCAATCATGAGCAGCATTTTTCGAGCAAATTAACACGATGGGCAATGTGTTATCGCGAAAAATTATTATTACTGCAGCTGTAATAATTTCCTTTAATGTTTTATCCGTTTCCACGTCTCTGTCACAGATGCACTTGACATTTTCTGTAGTGTATGCGACAGGATCATACTAGAAGGATTAGCATTGAACTTATTTACCTAATACGTCAGCACAGAACATAATACCAATTTCACGGTATTCGGCAGCGATATTCACATATTTAGAGATAAATGACTCTGCCAGTAGTTCTGATTAGAAAAGGATCATCATCATCATGAACATAATCAAGGATTAGACCCCAATAACCTTTCGTGTAATGCTCGAGAAGTTCTTGGTCCTTCCATCTGCGTCTAGGTCTTGCGCTATTCCGCCGACCGAGACTGTGGTAGTGGAGGACTATTTTCTGAAGGGATTCCTATCCATTCGTTTCTGGTGATCTAACCAGGCCCTCTGATAACATTTTATCTCTTCCAATATGCTGTCCACTTTTAATTAGTTGCGGATGTCAGAAGTGTGTCAGTTGTGTCGCTTACAGTTTTGGTTGCCTCTCCCATTTACAGTTCAACTCTCGCTGCCACGACTCAAAGCCGCTTTAGGAGTAATATTAAGTAATCGCAATTTTGTCTGCTGCCATAAATTTTCCAAAATGCCGTCTAATAATCCCATTAATTCGTGTATATTTGTAAAATTTATAATTGTAATTTTAGAAAGGAATTCATGAACAGGAAATAATATGAAACGAAGTTAATGGAGCGTGAAGGGACTAATGAATACCACAAAAAGACTTAGTCACTACAGCGGATTTCCGGATTCAGATATGAACCCGTGACCTACCGAACACAAAGCAGGAGTACTAACCTGTACTGCACTGTACTCCACACAGTCTTCCTCAGGAAGCCCACAATACAGCCCTCCAAAATCTGCAACTTGAAGAAACTCTGGTAGTTGGGCGCGAACGATATCAGGACTGTAGCAAGTGACTTCAGAGCTGTGTATTCGACAAATTTGCGCAAGTACACTCTGAATTCGGCCTCAGGATTCGTGAATGTGTTACTCTCGATCCCAAAGGCGCATGAAGATATGACATCAATCGTGTACCTATCCATCGTATCTTTTACATCCAGAGGCGAACCTGTTGACAGGAAACGATGTACATTGAGAACAATTTCTTACCCATTAAGTGAAAGGTGCGTGATCTTCAAGTTGCCAGCAACACTTGTTATTCATGTGCATCACCAAGGTTAATAATACGTTCAAGATTGCTGAAATATTAGTTAGCTATTTGTAATGTTATTGAGTATATATTACGTGACTCCCCGTTCGCCACTAAACTGTCTTGCTGGTATAATGCCGTGGAAATGACGGTATGTGGAAGAACGTTGCACACGGGAATATTATGTGGTCTATGCACTAAGAGGGAGAATGACAAAAATTAACGTCAGGGAAAATATTTTCTTCTAAATTTTCCGACAACCGGAGCACGGCAATGTTCCGGACTATGGTGTCAGGCGGATGAGGTCTTCTTCGCATGGTTATTCGATTCGGATTATGCTGCGAAAAAGAAACTACGCTTAGTGGCTTATCGTGAACACGCTGAGTAAGTTGGCGAACTTAACTAAAAGTCTCCAAACTTAAAAGAAAGAACACTAAAAGCAGGAGTTTCAGATCAAATATCGGCCAAGATTACAGGATGAACGTCGTCCGACCCTTATAATTGTTACCTTCTGGTCCTTGTCTCCGTGACTGCGCTTGCGTGTCTGTTAAATATTAAGTAAAGGAACACCGAACTCGCGGAATTATATTACACCTTGGAAGTGTCGTTGGTGGACGTCATTAGTTCTTTCAGTCTATCTTCTCTGGCAATGAAACATACATTTACAATGTCATATTTCCGTCAAAAATTACTTTCTTTTTTTAAGCTGTGGGCGCGCGAAACTTGGTATAGCTTAGCATGTTTGTTGTAAAAAGACCTGAGCTAATATTTTATGCATCTAAAATAACTGACATGACGGAGGTCTACTGACCAATAGTCATCGCAAAAATTTGAATCTGAGATATTGAGATTAAGCTTTAGGTATATAAAGCTAGCCTGTGCAATTTACCTTGAATTTGGTATAAAACATTAGTATCACACAATCAGGTCATTACTGAAAGAACAACTAAAACTCACCATCAGCCGTCTTCTCGTCCAGGTACAGAGTCAGCTTCTTCGCGCAGCTGTCTACCAGGTCTAACATCTTCTTCAACTTCCCCGTAGTGAAAATGGGCGTCATACTTAATCTTATGTGTTTCCATTTTGCATCTTTAAGGGCAAAGACAGCCTTGGCTGTCAGAGGATCTGCCTTTTCGTCAGCGGTTTGTACTCGATTCAAAAAATTGTGAGCATCCTTTACCAGTATGCACTTCACAAGATCCGGGTCGTTAATGAGCAAGGAAGGATGGTCGAACGAGAAGAAGCCAACGTAGGGCTTGTCTTTGTGTGCGTCGTAGATTTTCTTGAGGTTGTGTCCGATATCCATGGTCTGTAAAATTGCTTCTTTAAGGTTGCCCACGAACGGTAACGGTTTCGCGTATGGGATACCGTGCTTCTTCCAGAAGCTGAAATTTCGTACGAAATAAAGGTACAACATCATAAATAATGATGCGAAAACTACTATAATGTTGAGTAATACTGAATCGAATAAGAATGCCATTTTTAAGACACTTCCTTCCTGCGATTGCTTTTTTCAGGTTAAGTGTAGTTAAGCGTGTTTACTGAGACTGAAGATTTTATATGATTTCAGTTGGTTCGTACAAGACACTATTTGTTGGGTAAATTGAAATTTTCTGATACTATAATTGATTCGCGAAGTCCGTCTAGCCCGTAATTGTTGGCGTTCAATATAAAAATGCGAACTTTTGGCACCAGGACAAGTCATTTAAATACAACTTCTAGCAAACGATGTGCTTATGATAGGAGTTTTAACGTAGAATGATTTTTGAGCTTTGATTTCGTAAACGTCGTCGTGACCCTTGACAAAGTTTTCACTAATGGTAATCATAATTATTTTTAATGCAAATTTCTATGTGTAATTTTTACAAAGTAATCTTTTAGTATTTATTATTCTGCACGTAATTTTATGTTATGCACATATAGAAATTTATCGTATATGGAGGAGTTCGTGTTTGTCCGTCCAACTGTTCCCATTTTCAACTACAGAACCAGTGGATGGATTCTCATGAAGTTTTGTAAGGACATCATGCCAATGGAGGTCATCTAAAACTCGTACCTTTTAAATTCCAGCCTATTAGTATTTTCTACGATCGATAATAAAATAACGGAGGCACGATGTTGTGAGTTACGTGGGGAATTGAGCACCAAGTATGTAAAGTCTTATAATTATACACGACACAGCGTAGCTAAATAATTCATAAATAAAATATCTAAGGAACCACTGGAGATAATAATTTGAGAAATTTTATGGGTATATGATAAGGATAAATCTACATTACAAGTGTTGTTTGGTAATCCTTTATTCCCTTATATCACTATTTACACTGTGTGTTGTTACAAATATTGCCATTATGAATTGATTTTATCTACTTTAAATCTTAGAACACTCTATTCCAGACGACGACATCTCGTTGCGTTATTTCTTGTTAATGTCTTTATGGGCAAAATAAATTGCCATTCCATTATGGACGCTGTTGGTTTACGTGTGCCGGCGAGGCAAATAAGAGAATTTTCTACTTTTAGTGTGAGCAGTGCGCTAAGACATAGTCCTTCAGTCAGGTGCGTCATCGCTGCAAATGACGTATGTAAATCTTTGGACGTATTTCGCATAAACATTGTCTCCCTTGAGGGCACGTTCTTAATAACGCAAATGATCTAGATAGGCTGTCTTGATAGATGACCTAGCTTCGTTATCTGTTTTTTTTTTATATTCTTTAAAGTTTTACAATTATATTAGTGTTCCCGAGGTGGATTGTTTGTTATAATTTATATTTCTTCATTTATTTTTCTTTGTGTATAATATTGTTTCTATTTCGGGTTTGCCTGTATTTGGCTGTTATATTTAATACTGTACATGTAGGTATATGTTTAGTTAATCTTTTTGTGTAATATTTTTGATTATTGTTTCATTATTATTTTATGTATTATAAGTGTTTGCCTATTATTGGCTTCTTGCTGTTGGAAAACACTTAAATAAATTAATTGAATGAATTATTATAATTAATATATTTTTATTGTATTCACTTTATTTTCCTTGTGGTGTATATGTAATTGGCCATCTGGTTGTTGATGCAGCACTCTAATACTAAAGAATTGAATTATAACGATCTTGCGGGATTTTAGGCCTTCACTCACCCGAAAGCCGAAGTTATTCGTTAAACTCCAGCCGCGGAAAACTGCAAATCGCAGAAGGAGGTTCGGATTACCTTGTTCCTTCTTAAAATATGCCATGAAATTTCGATAAATTAACTGCATTTGACAAAGTGAATTCACAATGAAAGACCCATATCCTTCCGTCCGCATGTTTTATTTCACTAACATCTCAACAAATTTTATAACATAAATTGATATATGGTAAGCTGTCCGGTTATATTTCAAGTAATTTTACACTTTTTGAGGGACGCTTGGGTTATGTCCGTTCCCACGATTAATTTAACTAACAGTTCTGAGAGATTTGGGTGGAAGGTTAATGCAGGCTACTTCATCACTCCGCAATTTTATTCTTTTGCGCGAGTTCACAGAGTGAACGCAAAATGCAAAGATGACGTATACTTAATTTTGTTTGATGGGTTTTGGATCAGAGTTAAAGAAACTTTCACCTAAGCTTTCAAGCCAATATCATTCGTGTTATGCTATGCCATTATAAAAACAAAGGGCAATTACGTCATTTTTATCGTAATTTTAAAGATCACGTCTGGAAAACTTGCACTAATAAGGAAATGTTCCGGTTGATCAGGACGAAACCTCGCTAGGCACCAATGTGAATGATGATGATGATAAATTCAGAACTGATGTCATAGATCAAGAAAGAATCTTGGGAAGAAATCATTCGAAATATAATATATATACCAGAGAAAATAACAAAAGAAAATAAAAATTACTGCATTCTACCCATTTGAGTTGGTATCAGAATACATCGAGGCCAATCAAATGCCAAACAATACAACATATCAAATTGTTGCAACTACATATATACGTCCATAGTTGCTACAGTTTTGACATGTATTGTTTTAGTCCTTGAGTCATAAAATTATTATTTATAAAACAAAGCCTTTTCCAGTAGAAACTATGTGCTACTCACTGGAATCTAATGTCAGACAAATTCAAGTTAATATATATATATATATATATATATATATATATATACACACACACACACACTTTTCTAACAGCATATTAGGGGATGACGGGGGAATAGTGGTCAGGCACTTTTCTGACGAACGGTACCAGATAGAAGCTTTACGCTGGTGCTGATATCCAGTGCTTGATTCAGTGAAATTAAACAGCGAATTCAGCCATTTGCTTCTGGTTCAGTTACCGAGATAATTGCATGTGTCTGTTTTGTGCTCCAATGGTCTAATACTTTACATTGAAATATCTGAGATGATTAAACTTTCTTTTAATTATATTATTTTTTCTTGTGGGTTTACATAACATGCGATAGTTGGGTATTATAACTGCGTAATGATTATGAATAAATATGTGCTAGTTCACGGCAACACGCATTTCGTTTGAGGTTACGCGTTTGGGTTAATAGCGTTCAAGGATCTCCATTACCTATGGTGGGTCCACGGACACTTTGTAGGAAAAGTAGAAGCAAGCAACATTCGGAGATCCACAAAGCAAGGTATTAAAGAGAAATGCAAGAGCACAGAATAGAAGTAGGCAAACAGCAATATTTCCAAAGAAAATGCAGAATAAGGAAACAAGCCTCAAAGAGAGAAAAAAACGCTGCAGGAAGAAACTAAACAAATAGCTGGATTTTACTTCATCAGAAGAGGTCACCGAGATAAACGATCAAAATATTCTTGACGATAATGAAGAGGATGACATAGAAACAGATTGTGAAATATGTTTGTTTGTGAAAAATTTGGGAAAGACGGAGAACTCTGGTATAGATGCACAGGCTTTGGTATCTGGGCATATGCAGAATGTAGTGGCTGGGAATTTCCGGATGGTTACCTTTGTGATCTGTGTTTGAGAAGAAGAAATACAAAATGAAAAAGGTTACTGAAGACTTCTATCTTAACATTCCGGTAGAATTTGTACGTTCAAATGATTTAGACGTATACACATTTAGTAAACTAAGATATATGCCTATTACTTACTAAGAAAACACATTTTATTCACTCATTATCTTATTTACATAAGTGACATCTTGAAGCTCAAATAGTGACCGTCATTACCCCTAAAGATGGGGAATACCGGTCAAAGCTACCTCTTCAGTTATCATTTCCTAAAGACTTTTTGTTACGTTCAACGTATTTAATTCTGCATGATTGAAGACTTCTTTCTTAACATTCCGGTAGAATTTGTGGAATACCGGTCAAAGCTACCTCTTCAGTTATCATTTCCTAAAGACTTTTTGTTACGTTCAACGTATTTAATTCTGCATGCTTAATAAGTAAACCCTTCAGACTAAATTCCAGTTTATATAAAGTTTCAACTTTGCGTATACTTCGTTTTATCTAGCTTTACTCTTAAGTGACCACCATTTGCCCATTCTCCACTATTTCGAATACCAGACTAAAAGGACAAATCATCGTATTGACAAAAACAATCAGATCATCATTTGCTTCTGCAAAGTATGTGCAATCTTCAGTGACCTTAGTTCTTATCTTATTGATTAGGAAATAATTCTCGTATCTAAAAACCAATCAGAATGTAGTATGTCATGCACACGGGATAAAACACATGAAAATTTTAAACTGGATGAAAACATTGACAGCTAAACAAACAATAAGTTTGTTAATGATGTTAAGTCGCATTAATTGAAAACTGGTGCATTTGCAGAGATTCTCTAAATTTTAAGGGATTTAATTCCATTCTGTGAGCAGTCTGGTGACATTTTATTAGCATAAATATTTGGTAACAAATGGAATAGATCTCTATCAGAATGGCTGACATCAAGGCTCTATTAGAATTCCAAACCGTCGTACTTATGCCTTACAGAACGGAAATGTTTCAATATAAACGTGGTGATAATTGAGAGTGACGGAAAATTGGGCCACATCCACATGATTTATCCCCAGTCCTTCCCGATATCCATGGACAGAGTATTTAAATAGGCCACGACAACATCCTCTCCTATTCCATTTTACACCACTGTCACTCGTGTCTTCGATACGGCGGACTAAATAACCAAAGAATTATGTTAAACTGCATTAGCTTTGTCACATTAACACTGTCTTTGTTCCGTGCTTCTACAGTGGAAACTTCGAATAGATGCGAGGTGCTGATAATCACGAAACATAGGAAGAACAAATGCATAGCAGCAGGATGAGAATAAATCTGCCAAGAAATACTGGGTCATCAGTTCACTGACCGCTCCAGCACAACAGCTGACGCCAACTCGGAGATCGATTCGACGCACAACATTTACTACAAAACAGCATCCAATATGAAGATGGCTGTCTTCTCGGCTGCTACGCCGTAGTTGGTAGAAATTCATCGACATTTCAGAGACAGAAGCAGCAAGCACCTCTGAAACGCTGGTAAACTTCTGTATGACTACACGGCCCAGAAGAACCCAGAAGGCAGACAACTTCTAATTCCTATTGAGCTGCTATAAATGGGTTCAGTGGAGGAGGGCGCTTTTGTTACAATCCTGGGCGAATTTTCGGTAACCGGACGAGCCGAATGACTTATTCGTGAAATTTATTTCAGTTGTCGGAATTATTGAAAATTTATGCCCCAGTCCGTATGTCTAAACATTTATTTGAGCGTTTTTGTTCAATTTTGAATTCCATAAGCCTAACTACAAAAACGTGTTTGGTCGACTGATGCACGTCGAGCCACCTGACGGTGCTGAGTTCTGGTTGTTAATTGCACATGTTGGCCACTAGAGGCGCCAACATCGATAACAATATTATTAACTCAGTGGAGATGTCATGCAGGTGAAAGAAAGTTTATTATTTGGTTATGTTTGTACTAGAGTTGGATGGTTGCTGCCTCTTGCCTTCTGCTGTTACCTATACAGTGCTGGAAGATGTGCCACGGAGTTCGCATTCCGAACGTCAGCTGTTCCCTCCTACTTCTCGTCCTGGCGGCCACTTCCGCAGGTAAGTAAGTACTTGTCACATCCGGAAGAGGCGATACAATCGGTTCGTTACAGAGTTTATTAAGGCTTTGACCGGGATGTTCTTTTGTTAAATCTTATGTGGTACCGCCTGATTCGACTTCTAATGGTTAAGTGAAGTGTTTTCTTCGCGGTACGGTCTGGATTCGTAAATATTATGAAGACGAGCTTCGGCTTCAAAGGGTTAACCAGCTGATTTTCGTAACGGTGAGGTGTAGTGTTTTCTTCGCGGTACAGACTGAATTCATAAATAATATTCAGACGATCTTCGGCTTCAAAGGGTTAAAGACTGTTTAGCTTGCGTCTGGGATCGAACCTAACCTAACATTTACCTTTTTAAGCCCTTTGCCTCTTCCGGATACACTGAGACCCTTTCTTCCGTCTTTCCGTCTGACGTCTTTGGCACATTCTGCTCAGTCCAATTTGCGATAAGATGTGATAAAAAAACTCACATCCGCCCTGAGGATGGCAACTGTTAATACGTGTCGAAACGACGGATAAGTCAAAACATTAGGCGCGGCTCAATCTACAAAAGCCGAAGTTAAACACTGAATCCCAGCAGGGAGAAACTATGAGAAAGAATTCTTTCTAAACGTTCTACCCACTTTTTCTTATTTGAATCCACGCAAGTTTCAGATTACTGGTGCCACGTTCAATGTAATTTTTGTTCCCCCTCACATCGGCTCACGATAAATTACAAACTTGTCCCAGAATTCTATGTTCTACTGACCACATACTGCCTCACAATTACGTAACACAAAAAAATTCCCCAGGGCTTAACAAATGAATTATTAACTACTAATGTACGTACATTTTTGAAAAGTCCAAACACATTTAGTAATTAGCATTCAATGTGACTAATCTTTTAACAAAACGGAACCTGAAAGTCCATTACATCGATTTTTACATTGTTTGTTTCAGAGTCCAATCTAATTTTAGATGCTTGAATCTTCCACACATCACGGTTAAGCCACTACTCAATATTAATTTGTTTGCGACTTTAACTTTTCAAAAACCAGTTAGTGATGACGAACACAGGACTAGACACTACATTCATTGCGTATAAATAATACTTAAAGTTTCAGCCCGTACCGCGAAGAAAACACTACACTACACCATTACGTAGATCAACTGGTTAACGCTGTTTAAGGAAATAATCGCTGTTTATTCTGAGAATCGTACGGAACACATGAATACACTCTGTGGGCAGAATTCAGGATTACTTATTATTAAAGCACGTGGTACATATAGTTACTACTGGTCATTAAAGGGTTAGATCCAGTTCTTGTTGAATGATTTCTGTCTTCTGGGTTGTTGCGCTGTGTAGTCTGGTCGATGTTTACCAACGTTTCAGAGGTCATACTGCTTCCATCATCAGGGCGGTGAGTATGAAGATTTCTGTCTTCTGGGTTGTTGCGCTGTGTAGTCTGGTCGATGTTTACCAACGTTTCAGAGGTCATACTGCTTCCATCATCAGGGCGGTGAGTATGAAGATTTCTGTCTTATGGGTTGTTGCGCTGTGTAGTCTGGTAGATGTTTACCAACCTTTCAGAGGTCATACTGCCTCCGTCATCAGGGCGATCGCCTGAACTTTTAAATTCTAATTTTCGTTTCGCTGTAAACATAGCACAATTTGCTCCATCACCATGACATTGAGCTGTTGAGACACTGTTTTGTGAGGTGTATTTGATACAGATGACTTTTGGGAGTTGGGTCTATTGTTGTCATCACATGACTGTCTTTATATCAGCAGCATATTTTCTTATTGATCTGAGATTGCCGACAATGGCAGAAATCATACCAAAACACTTTGAATACCGGCGCGACCGTAAAGAGGGTCTACGTAATTTTAATCCCGAGCAGGGAATTTCGAATGAGAGTTTCTCTTGGTTTTTCGTCTCGCTGTAAACATAGCACAATTTTCTCCGTCACCATGACATTGAGCTGTTAAGACACTGTTTTGTGAGGAGTATTTGATACAGATGACGTTTGGGAGTTGGGTCTATTGTTGTCATCACATGACTGTCTTTATATCAGCAGCATATTTTCTTATTGATCTGAGATTGCCGACAATTTCAGAAATCATACCAAAACTCTTTGAATACCAGCGCGACCGTAGTTTTAAACCCGAGCAGGGAACTTGGAATGAGAGTTTCTCTTGGTATCCGTCAGTCCCTCCAGACGAGTTCTCTTCCTCTCCTCTCTCTACGCCTGCCTTGAATTCGTCTATCCATCGTGTGCTCGGTCTTCTCCTGGGTATTCTTCCACTTATTTTAATTTCCAGTAATCTTTTTGCTGTTCCATGCCCATCCATTTTTTTAACACATCCACGCCATCTCAATCCACTTCTGCCGATTTGGTTTGTCTATTGAGCTCGCCCCCGAAGTATGTGTTATAATAGTTTATATTGCAATGGTTCTGAACGAAATTTGGATAAAATCTGTCACGGAGCCAAATTTCTGTTTTGATGGAAATCTGCCTGAAGAGAGAACGCAAACCCAGGCGATGGCGGACAGCAGGCCTCGTTGCCAGTTGTAAGTAGGATAACAATCATGACCTATATTTCCACTCGCAGGCGAAGGTACTTCTAACCTGCTACACCCGTAGTTATTGTACGTTCTCCGGAACAGTTAATTTACTGAACCATGCAGTGGCCATCATATTAAAGTATTCGAGACTGAAATCCAGGCAACGCGCTTTCTCATGCCTTGACTAAGTTTCACTTTTAACCGATTTCCGCAGCCGGACTATTTATTTCTCTCTCGGGGACGTCTCTCAACTAGAACCTTCGGTCTGATGAAAATGAAACTACCGGCCCATGAGATCTCAGGTTATATCGCTGTCAGTAGACCAACGTTTTGTAAGAAAAACCTGTTTCCATGTTCAAGACAGATGCAAGCAGTATGCTGCTCCGAAACTTTATCTACCCACGGCTTCACAACCCAAAACACCAACGTCGATAAGGTGAAATTAGATACTTGAAACCCTAATATTGATGAAGTATTGCACTCGTTCTAAAGTTTCTGATAAATAAACATCCTCTAAGTTTACAAGGAAAATCTGAATATGTCGTGTAATTTATTAGTCACGGAAAGCCGACACGTAGTGATCCAGCCTGGTACTTCAATGTGAAAAGTTGTCGCGCTAAAAACCTATGAATGAACTGAAGTATTGGACCTCGGTTTTAGTTAGATTTTTGTACGCTTACAGTTTCATGATAATCCTGAAGCTAGGGCTACAGAATGCCGAATGGACGTCAGGGCAAAGTAACTTTCATGCAGATGAAGACTGCTGTCACACTTGTCCTACTTTTCCTGTAGTCCTAAAGACTCCAAGTTACACCTGGATTTCCAATATCCAAGCTGGCATTAAAAGAGGTCGAAGCATGAATCATATGCACTTTCTCCGGATTTAATCGTCTGTCTTAGTGAGAGACATGGCCAGACATCAAAATTGATACCATTAAATTTTTCTATACAACATCAGAGGCATAATAATGTTATTATCATATTATTATAATTGTCCTAATAATATTTAAGAATTCAGTCCTCACCGCAAAGAAAACTCAACTCTTCACCATTTCAAATATCAGTTGGTTAACGCTGTTTAAGGAAATAATCGCCGTTTATTCTGAGAGTAGGACGAATCCCGTAGATATAAAACAAACCAAATAAAAGAAACATCATTGAAGTTGGTGGGACACATACCTACCTCGGAGTTAATTGCTTAATAATATTGTATTTCAGAACGACCTGATTTCTAGACCAGGATCCACGACGAATTCTTGCTCGTTTAGTTTTAAGGATGATAACTGGTGAAATAATGTACGTAGAAAAAAATGCTTTTCTTGGGATTGTGCATACCAAATTCGACTTGACATTTATTCATTGCAAATGATGCTATATATAAAACAGGAGCTAATATGAACAAGTTTTGTGGTTTTTGACCACTGATTCGAAAGCTAACTTTGCTCTGATGAGTGTAAAAATAAGACTGGAAAGGAGTATAGCCAGTACCGAGTACACGGAGTTTCCGCGTGCGTTCTTTGCACCTTTGTATTGTGAATATTCCTAGCTGACACACACAAATGCACCATATCACACATCCTTGGCAAAGATTGCAATAAGTACCGTCCTCATAAGAGCGGCAATCGATCGGAGACCAGGTGCATATTCGAAACGTTACTCATTTCCTCTCACTCGCTTATCTTCTCATTCGCCCGAACTGTAGGATCTGATTACCAAGCAAAAGATCGTTGAATCGAAGCTAGGTATATGGAATCATGATTAAATTGTTTCTGTTATTTGCAAGTTTCTCCAGACAGATGCATTACTTCCGAATTGGTCAAAGACCATTTTTGAAAATAAATTTCGTGCTTCTACTAACGGTTCGTGAGACCATGCCCTGTTGATGTTGACAACGCTTTGGATGCAGGGGCTCGTATTCCCCCCCAAACCCCACTCCCGAGACAATCCGTGCCACAAATTGCGGAAGCTGAAGTCAAGGTAACGGAATGTGGCGCCAGGCACTGGAATGTGGTCATGACAACCGAGGAACTGGGAAAACGTGATAGTCTTTCGTCTTTAGTAACACAAACTTGCTGTTTGTCTTTATCGTAGAAATGGCTTCACCTATATAATTTATTTTACCATCTTCTGGGAAAAGTCAATTGTAGCGTACAGCCTCTTTTCACAATGTCATATATGCCGTATGCATAGAGTAACATGAAGTTCTGAGCATATTTAAAGCATTCGTCTTTCCTCTGTATTTCAGAATATTTAGTTCTACGTAAATGCATGGTTTACTCTTTAACTGGTAACGTTCATTATTTCTTCATAGTCAAATTATTTCCCCAGTAAACAGTGACATGTCATTAAACTCAATCATTACATAATCCATCAATGGCACTTAATGAATTTGCTAATCTAGTTTCTAGGTGCTCCAAGTGACCACTGTTAGCTTCGTAGCATAGCCCACAGCGGTGAGCAATTGATTGACAAGCAGCCACCGATGTTTCTGCTGTGTATACATCTTGTTGGGACCTCCTGTATTCAACTTTCATGATTTTCAATTAAATTATCGTGAGGGTAAACTTGTCCCTGGTGCTTATGTAAGCACCATACCATGCATGTGTGGGTGGGGCAGTGGAATTATAGCTAAAAAATTCTTAACCTCATTATTAGATGAGATCAGTGTTCTTGTCCGTTGTTCACGTATTTTCTCTTCTGAAATAGTCTTATTATAATTATGATTTGGAAGCCAATAATTAATTAGGCCAACATGGTTTTGAAAGACAAGATAATACAAGACGCCACAATCGGACTAAAAAAGTTTCCCTCGCCATGGTCTTTTGTATCACCTTTTCAAACTCAGAATATGCAGATGGACCATAAAATGCATAAGATGGAAATCACTTACAAGACACTGGCACTTTGATTTACTTTAATTTACTAAATTAAAGTAAATCAAACAAACAACGAAGATTATATTATCCGATTTGGGCTAAAATTACCTTTGCTTCAACTATGGTAACCATACAAAAATTTGAAATCTTAAATGTAACGATGTAACGGATTGGTATTGTTCCATTTTATATTTCGTTAAATTATCTAATGATGTTGTATCTGCTGCAGAGGTTGTTTAGCTAAGCAAAACCACAATATATCAGCCAAACGAGAATCGATAAGTACACAATAAGAATAAAGAATACGGCATCTTGATGAAATTGCATCTTCATTCAGTAGACGTGCAGTAAATGTACACGACTCCCGTTTGTTAATTTAAATGCACTGTTCACAGTCATACGCGGGTTTGACCGATACCCACATGCGCCTTTCCCATGCTAAGTTTGACGACGGTGTTTATCCGCAGGCGGCGACGTGTGGAAACAGGAAGTTGGGTCTCAGATGGAGATTGGCGTGGCAAACACGGGGTACCGCAAGGTGCAGCTGAGGTGCGGAGCGGATTATATGCAAGTCGACGTCGAGACTGGCCAAGATTTCGGCGGCGTCATATACACGCGGGGTAGCTACCACAGCAGGGAGCCACCATGTTTCATTGACCCGCGCAACGGCCGGAGCTTCTCTCTCAAGTTCCCTTTGTCGCAGTGTCACACTAAGCTGGTGAGTAAACGTTTGACCCTTTGAAGCCTATGCTTCAGTCCGTCCGTACCGCAAAGAAAACACAATATTTGACCATAACAAAGATCTTTCGGTCAAAATATAAAGGAATTATCGCTGTTTGAACTGAGAACTATACGAAACTCATGAATAAAAAGTGTAGTTGCTGATTCACACAACAGATGCCGCATATATTTGCCACGAGGCTTTAAACATGCAATTTATCTGTCCATAAAACGCGCATATTATCAACGGTTCACAATGGCCGCCTTCTTGATATGGACTGTCTACGACCCGCAAAATATGTCTACTTGCTGGTACTGCTACTTAAACCCCAAAGGTGACATATTCATCTCTAATCTCTTGATATTACTCGTACAATATTGGCTAACACTTCGAATTCGTAAGGCGATTAAAGACGAAGAGAAAATAAACCCGTATTTGTTAGTACTTATAACCAGAAGATAATTAACGTTGTAGTAGCCGCCACGAAACAGCCGTGCGCGTGCGCAGATGAGTACTTCTGTTTGAAAGTAGAGTCATCTACTGACCATACCATACAGGGGGAAAGGCTTAAAGAAATTTTTTGCCCTCAGTACGATTGGTATGAGCATTTATTTTTCAGGATAACGATGTCTACACGAACGTAGTGGTGGTTCAGCATGACGATGAACTCATTATGCCTGGGGACGCGGCCTTCACCGTCGAGTGTGACTTCAGTCGTCCCAGGGACATCACTGTCAGCGCGAATCTGGAAGCCGATCGGTGAGTTCAGTCTGCGCCCCTTACAGAAAAACACATATTTTCAAAATACGTTCTCTGCGATTTCTTAATCTTGATATTAACTACAGACAGGAATTCAGTGTTCCGAAGCTGATCACATTACACGTTGTTTCGATGGGCTGAGACTGTATCTCTGTGGTACGGGACCTTTGTCCATCCCCAAGATGATATGGAGTAGCGATAGAATGATAGCTACAGCCATTGTTTCTGTTATACTGAATGCACAAATTTATTATTATTTCTAGCTATTCATGATACATAGAGTCAGATAGCGTTTTGACAACCATGACACGTCCACCCGTTAAAGTGTTCTTAATTATTCGTATATAACTGACCAAACTTTCAGAGTCAAGGAAACTGAGATAATTTTGGGGCATCTGCCTTGATACCAATTTCAAACAAAAATCCAGTAGTTTCGGAGATAGCTGGTTGATGGACAAATATCATATAAACTTGGTGAAAGTAGCTCATAAAACGAAAGGACTCGAACATTGAACGTAAACATTTGTAACTGCTTCAGAAAACTGGAAAGATACTGAAAATGAATGTAAGAACATGCGTCTTCGACAGTCCACCTGGCCATGAACGAAAAAGTCCTTATTGTGTCTTCAATGTTGTAGGCCTGTCGTGAGTTCGCGGATAAGCATCACCGACGCAGACCCTGCAGGAAAAGAGCTGCCACGTCATAAACGCTCCACAGTCTCCAGCGAATCAGGAACTGTATCCTTTACGCCTGACGATGTCAGACCGAGGAAAAAGACAAACCCCAGTAAGGACGAGCTGTAGCGTACGACGCCTTTGTAAACCATCTTCCGCCACAACTTGTTAACAACAGTGCTTATAATTCTAAAACAATATTTTTCATAAAACGTTGGGTTCAAACAGACAATCTTTAAAATTTCTGACCTGTCTCCGTACACAAGCTTTCTGTTTTAACAAATTACTGATTTCGGTTGTCTTCAGTACGAAATTAAATGAAAGTTAGCAACACCAAACATTAAACTCAACACTTATCTGTTTTGTTTTGGCCTGAACCCGGTTTGCATGTTGCTTGCTTTGATTCATATTTGGTTGCAATCAAAGGGGCCTAGAGGTTCCTAGTGATAATTGCTACGTGGCAAAATATTCTGTTCGATAAGTGCTGCTTCCATTTGGCAGCTTACAGAAGTTCTAACATATGAGTGACGAAATCAGTTAGTACCTGGCACAGCCGACATGTTGCTCTAAGCAAAAATGGATGGAAAAACAATATGAGCAAAATGACGAAAGGAGATAAAAGTATGAAAGGGATAAAGGAAAGGTAGAAAGGATGTGAGGAATGAATATCCACTAATATGCTTGCAAACATTTACCTGTATTTTAGTCTCTAGGGACAATTTCTGTCAGTATAACGTCGAATAACTTTTGGATGTATACTCAATTAAGGGACTAAATACTTATGCGTGAACCGAGCTGCGTTCATTAGCAGTACAGCCGTAAAACGGGCACGGGTGAGGGGCGAGGTTACAGGCTAGAGTTTCTGACCTCGCCAGAGTCCGCCATCTCAAAGAAACTCTGGACTCACTCGACGACATAAATTAGGTCGATGAACAACGCAACATTACACCAGACATATAACGTTTTCTAGTGGCATTTTTTTAAATTGTCGCTTGCCTACCAAATAACATATCAGTATTATGTAATGCGTAACCGGCTTAGAGAAACCCTAAGTGGATGAATCAGTCATTTTTTTTTGGACATGGTAACGACTCTAAAACTACCAATCTGTTGTGAATGATTTGTCGTCCCTTCAGCTACCATATCTAAAATTTTAAAGACTGAAGTATAAAATACTTCCTCTTCTGTTTCGATGTTGTGTGATCAGGTATGGTATGGTCATAAGGTTGTAATTCAGATTCAAGGAGGTGAGGAGAGTATTTTGACCTTTAAGGAAGCCTGTGAAGAGTCGAAGAAAATAAGTCAATTTTTTTATATTTTTCACCAAGTACCAAGATGTTCAAATCACAGAGGGTGAGCTCAATCATAATATAGAGGGACCTACTAATAGTTACACACCATGGTCTATATAGAAGTGAAAGATACGTATAATGTCTTGCATGTATTTTGTATGTGTGATGTTTTGTAAAAGAAATCTATTGTTCTGAGAATAAAGTTCCCCTCTCCCTGTCACCGATAACAAATGATTGTTTGCAGATCGTGTGAAGGGGTGAGTCACGGCCCCACTGGTCAACATGACACAGGAGCGCAACATCTGTGATACCACGTCCAAACTCTTTTAATTTATGTACTAATGAACACACTAAAATACAATATAAATTCGCGACCTAAGCTTCACAGGGAGGTCTTTGTTTCGAGTTTGCGCATCCCATTTCATGAATTTCATTCTGTTTTGTAAACAAGCCTGCGAAATTTCTACATAGGCCAATAGATGTTAATATTGGAGAAAGACTCTTTCCCCAGAATTTTATGCGTTCGCTCTAATTCTAGCAAATATTTCCTTTGATTCTTATGCCGTTAAGTCAAGGTAGATAATGCTTCAGTCCAGATTCGAGAAAAATTTCTACGAAAATATTACAGTGTTCAAAAATGTTTATCTGATTGAAACAGACACCAAATTATTGACACCATCATATTATTTTTAATTACTGTATTACAGACAGCCACTGCTCTTAACGCAAGGGTGCCTTTACAGGAGCAGCTACCTGCAGTCGTTAATCGAAGTAAAGGAAACATTTCATCACGATCGATTATCGAAGATTAACTTGCAGATAACTGAACGAAGTTGTGTCAGCCTCTGAGGTAATGTAGCATAGAAAACATGTTTCTGAGTTGATATACCGCGACATTTTGAGCTGAAATTCGTTTCTACACGTCTAATGATTTATAAATGAAGCAAGTGTTGGCTTGCTGGTTGGTGATCATTTTCTGTTGAGGAAGATTGGGCTTTGTGGGATAGTTATTACTGTGTCTTTACTACTTTAAAATTTCCTTTTGTTCTTGATCGGCAATTTAGTAGTCTAATAACAATTCACAAGCAGAGGGATCCTGGCCAATCCCGTTTCGTTTCCTTACTGATTTCTGCTGCTGTTTCTTTGGTAAACTGTCGGTGCTTCAAAATTTCTCAACAGTATTTTTTTATACGTGTTACATACTACGCTATTCGAAGATGGTAACTTTTAATCTCAGTATGTTATTTGTCTGCGAAGCTTTACTCCAAAAATTGTGTTAATCTGTTAAGTTTTTTTTTTGTAAAAATTAATACATGTAAAAAATTAAAATTATTTTAAGAAAATAACGAAGTATTAATAATGTGATTACGTATACATGAGAGAATAAAATGAAATTTAATCTTCAAAAAATAGGCTGTGTGAGTGGCTTTGGTGATTATGGACATGACCCAGCGGCAACGCTTCGATTATATAAAAGAAGATGAATTTTTTGCCCAACTGAGCAATAAGGACTTACGGAAAGAACTGTACTGCATATAAATTTTTGTTTACAGCAGCTATTCTCGATAAATATTTTGTGAGATACACTCGAGGCGATAACAGAAACACAAGTACAGTTGACGACGTCTATAGTAAAACTTCGCCGAATAAAATTACAAAATATAAATTCGTAATTTAATCATGCAAGAAACAAAAAACTCTGTACGTCAGACAGCAACATACACATGTCATTTTAAATTAAACTTTTGTAAAAATGTTTAATAATATGCACACATCTTTTATCATTGAGCATAAAGACGAAAACGTAGAAGCCGATTTTATTCAAGATATGGATAAAGAGAAAATCAAGGACACTTGGTAAGACCTTAAGCTGGTCATCAGCCTATGATCTGGTTATCGGGCCATTTCTTAATCTGGTGTCAAAGTACAGTCACTGACCCCTCCATTTGAGTAATTGGATTGGTAAATGTGACCCCTCTACATCTAAAAATATCAAGTACAGACGGGAACAGAGCACAAACAACAAACATTCAAAATAAGGAGAGGAAAATGTTTTCATCACGCTGCTGAATTCTAGGAATTTGGCGGCGATTCTTGTAGCTGTTCAAAATGCATTGAACCTTATGAAGCGAACCACTTGAAACAACTTGCTTGTCAATCAAATTAAATCTTTAAAAACGAAGAATATGTTTACGTAAGTGACGCCATGAACTCGAATGCACGACTTTAACTACTGTCCAGAAATGAAATCTGAGGTTAATGTTTTCACCATGGCCTGGCCAACCAAGACTTCAGCCGCTCGTATCTTTGGTAGCCGAATATAAGTTTCTTAAAGTTCTGAACGAGATGGCAACTCTCACCTCTGCAAACATAAGCGTGAGAATTGTAAACCATGTTTGATGGCATGATTCCAGAACAACTCGCTTTTGAACTACGAAAAAAAGTCACCACCGGTGCCTCATAGTCTTATGTATGATCCACTTAATAACAGAAACCACTCATTTACAGCAAGTTAGAATACCAAAATTCAGAAGAGGAGATTTCTTGGACAACTGCCACTTGTTCAAAGACGACCTTCAGACAAGGAGTCTCTTCATAAATTTCCCCACCGATCCTGTTCTTTGCGCATTCCATCACAATACACACAGGGACAACGAACAATGGAGCACCTAGGACGAAGTCGAATTCTTTCTGCTTAAAGTTAGTGTTCTGTGAAGGCACGAGTAAGGGTCATGCAACACAGGGCATCAAACTTACATTTTGATTAACAGACGTCAACATCACAGTCTGCAGGAAGAATACGAAATGTTTTAACCAGAAGTATCCAGATTCTAGATCCTCTCACAGACTCCCAGTACCGTTAATTCACAGCTGTTTCATCAGCACTGGTATCAGAGGCGTGCTGATAACTGAAACACTGCGTCAACACCAATCTACACTTAATCCAAATCTCAAACAGAATCCAGAATTCATTCTCATACATGCTTACGCTTTTGAGACTTTGGAGACTTAATTTTTCATATTATGGCTTCCATAGTTTTACAAGCCACGCTGCATAATAAGGAGCTTCTCTTATGTACGTACACAAAATATTGTTAAATTGATCAAATCAGAAAGGATGCGATGAGTGGAGCATGTAATACGCAAGAGGAGATTATAAATGCGCACAAAATTTTTGTTGGGAAGCCTGACAGTAAGAATCTCCTGGGAATACCTAGGTATAAATGGGAAGATAATATTAAAATGAACCCCAAGAAAACGGTCGGCCTGTGTGGACTGACTGGTGACTCTCAGAACAAAGACCAGTGATGGGTTCTTGTGACTAGGGAGAGAGGTGTTTGAGAACAGGGTCTTAACGAGGACATTCGGAGTTACGAAGGAGATTGTGACAGGAGACTAGATAAAACCGTGAAACTTAATAATTTCTACTCTTCACCGAACGTCATTAAGGAAGAAGGGTGAGGTACGCAGGTCATAAAGTACGCATGAGGGAGGTGGTAGATACAACGTTTTGGTAGCAGAATATCAAGAAACATCACAGGCACACATGAGATAATATCATTAAAATGGATCTTAAAGAAACAGGGTGGGATGATGCAGAATGGATTTATCTCACTGAGGATAGGGCTCTTGTGAACAAGCGTGAACTTTATCGCCCTGCTGACGGAGGCAGTAAGCACCTCTGAACGTTTGGTCAACTTCTACGAGACTACACAGTGCAACATCCCAGAAAACAGTCATCATCGTGTGAAATTTAGTTTACCTTATTACTGATATAAAATTCTGGATGAAGAAATCGTTCATGGTTGTCCGACCCTGACTCTGAAAAGAGACTTGCGCGAGCCGAAATTAACCGCCTATGTGATACGGTTGTTTGATTAGGACGCCACTGACATGCATCAGTTCACTCAATTTTCCATACGTTTCCCAATATCAATATAACGCCAGATGGCAAGTCAAGATGTCGTGTGATGGAATTGTTTCATGTTTAATAAATACATTAGCTGCACTTAAATACTGCGCTGTTCCAAGAGCGGCCTGTATGTTACTAGTCGTCATTATGGCTACTCTGAAATTCAAGGATCCCTCACCTTACATCATGAGCCAACAGATAGCACCGTCCGCCGATTACGCATACGCCAGGTTAGTGAAAATTAGATTACAATTATACATCTTAATTAATTCACATACTGTTATAAAACAAAGGTGTGGGGCATATAGAGTTGATTTAAACGAGAAGATGTTATTTTCGGTCCTCACGGCGGCAAGTATGAATATGACTGACTTCTGGGAAGTAGCGCGGTGTAGCGCGCTTTTGACAGCAAAGACAAACCGAAATCCATGTATAAAGTATCGGAGGTCCAAACTGTTATATCAGAACGAAATTTTTTCAATTAAATCTACATCTTAAGCCATTTGGATACATGTCTGTTGCAGGTACCTGGAAAACAAAGAAATGGCGTCCAAGGAAGGTAATCCACAAGAAAAGATCCAAATGGCTTTGTTTGGAGTTGGGAGGGCAGGTCAGTGAGATTACGAAATCTGTGTTGATAATTCGGTCAACCGAGTAATTTTAATTGGAGCGATAATGGAAACTGAACATCCAGTTTTTAATACAGACTTCGTAACAACTTTTGAATGCCAACAAAAATAAAGCCCGATATTAGGAAAAGCGATCAATTTCGGATTTTCATAAAAAAATCCTTAATTTTGTTCATGTAATAAGCAGTACTATTAAAAAATGTAGTTTGTTCGCATTTTGCTTACTCCATGGCTGGAAATTCTTTAACTTTTACTTCTTCTCGATAAATTCATTGAACACGATATGACACACTCTTATATAAGTTGTAGTTACATTAATATTTGCGCTGATGTAAGCGCAACATGTCGTAACACAATTTGGCTATAAAAACCCAAAATTTGTTTAACAATTTCAAGCCGAAACTAGACAAAATAATATTTAAAAAATCAGGCCCTGTCTAAAACACACACATCAGTTCTCTTTTACAGAGATCAATTGGTTTAATGTTTATGGAAATAATCACTGTCTAGTCTCTGTAGTCAAAATGCGCACTGACTGTTAAAACAAATGGTAGCCGACATATAGTTATCACTGAGTTTAAAAGGAGAAGACAGAATTCTGGGATATTGCACCGTGTAGTCTCGTAGAGCATCCTTGATGTTGGAGGCAGAATATACCTCTGAAATATCGGTCAATTTCTATGAGGCTACACAACGCAATATTCCAAAGGCTTATCATCTTCATACTCACCGCCGTGAGAACCTGAAATCTCACGGGTTTAAAGGGGTTAAAAAGTACCAGAACAGATTCGTAGACTCCGCTTTTAAAGTGGCTGTGAACAGAGTACAGACTGTTTAATTTGAAGAAGTGGCGCGTTTGAAGATACCAACTTCTAACTCGGCATATGTCTGCAGAGACCTATCAAAATCACGAACCAATTCAATCAATATGACA